TGTCCATGTTGGCGATTAGACTCACCATTTGAGAATTTGCTGGTGCTATTAAGGTCAGGGGAACATGCGACCAGTTACTTTCAATTGTCTCCAGTGAGTGCTTACACAACTTGCATGTCAGCGTACTTCGATACGCATTCAGACCAGCTGGCTTCACCAGTTGGCTGGTGTCAATGTGCTCACAGCGTCGTCGTGCGCGTCCGCTAAAACGCATCCGCATGTCAGCACACACAAGTGCATGTGCTCCAAATCGAGCGACAGTTCTGGCTGCGGTCTTGCCAGCAGTAACTGATTGCAACTTGATCGATCTGCGTCCAAGACTGCTTCGAGGCTGGTGGGCGCCAAGTCACCCTCCGGCGGGTGCTGTGTCGGAAATTACTGCTCGCAAGAAAAAAGCGAGCATCTTCACACAAATGAAATAACCGCTCACCGTTATCATTACTGGAGCGTATACGGTGCTGGCCGCCCAGATGCAGTTCATCAATAGATAATTTTCCAACTTGTGTGTTCATATCCCCAGCCAGCACAACAGTGTCCGTGCTTCTTCTGTGGCGGTGAACGGAGCTGGGTCAGTTGGCGGTATAAGTCGTTTTTTACCGAATCATCGCTACAGTTTGTGGGCGCATAGGCAATGATGATGAATAGAAACCTAGCAGTCCCGCGCGAATTCGAAGCTTTGAACGAGCCAGTCAATCGAACCTCAAACATTTGGCTACTGCTTGGAATCCATTCAAACGGAGCAGCTTCAGCCCGGGGACTCAAGGCAATACCAACACCAGCTTGGCTGATGCTCGAAGCTGCATCGTCACCGGATAGGCGCAATGAGAAAATACTGTTTGCGTCACCTGAAGGGGATCGCAGAGTGAGCACAGAGCTCGATTCTTGCAGGCGCGTCTCCGAAAAGTAGCATATATCGATCGATTGATTTTCGGGCAATTGCTGCCTGTTGAGCGATCTGTAGCAATATGCGTACATTAAGGCATGCCAATCTGAAGGAGGATCGAGGGCTCCAAATGGAATTCCATGAACTGGACTTGGCCGCTTGGTTGGATCTGGGTTTGTCGACAGGACAGTAATGACGCTCCGCGTTCACATGTGAGTTGAAACTAGAAGGTAAAAGCCTAGCAAAACGAGGTGGGGGAAGGCCAAGAATTGGGGTGTTGAAAGCACGGGGGATAAAAGTGTAGCTGGAACGGGACAGTAAGATAGATAAGCTTAGAGGGAGAATAAATTGATGGAAAGGCTTGAGCAGTAGTATCCAAACCTATCCACTCTGCTCGATGCAGCGGATAGGGCATCGTTGCTTATCCTCTGCGGTGGTCAGAGCATCAACAAACGGTTTGAAGAGAAATTCATTATATTGCGTGGGCAGGATAGTGTCAGGTTGCCCAGGTCTAGACAGGAGAACGATTAGGGTTCTCAAGCAAAGCCTTTGGTTCAAAAACCTGACCGCAAGGCAGCAGATTTGGCGTTGGGCTACAAGGATTCCGTTTTAAGGAATAAGATGCTACCCTCATTTCAAGCCCCAACCTGGAGGACCAGGAGGCTTAGTTTGTCTGACCTCTAACCATTGACCAATCTGGTTTGAGTGGCTCTGAAGATGCATGAAATACACCACCCAGCATAGCTCACCGGATCGCTGAGGCACACAAACCATCGCACCATGGTAAGGTCCATTTTATTAGCCATAACATTGAAAAGACAACGAGATGCGAGCGACTTATGTATTAGAGCACCCACGTCTAGATATCCTTTACATTGACACTCATGCTTTTGCACGATTCCTTCATGGTATCCTTTCAACTCCTTTTTTCGCTGCGCCCCTTCATTTGCAACGTATCAACGGGTCTAGATTTGAGCACCACACGTCGTTCATTCTAGGCCATCCATGAGTTCACTGAGTTTCTTGCGCCTCTACGTTTCCACACCTACCACTCACTAGTAGTACACCAACTAGGACCATACACGCTGTACGTAGGTTCTAAATATTATTTTTAAGTAACAGCTTTATACTGGATATTTACTGTTATCACCTCCCACGTCGGATGCGAATGTTCGTTAACCATCACACGCTGCTCACCCGCTGCGCTCGGTTCGATCCACGCCTCCGCTGAAGGCGCCAAGCTGAGCTTGATTCACACGAGTTGAGTCAATTCTGGCTACTACAACCTTTCCTCATCAACACGAGCGGGCGGTCCCTGATTCGATTTCAGTCCATTCCTCTGGCGCTTGTTCCGCTCGCTTAAATGTTCAGCGGTTACCCTACGCGTCGCCAGCCTGAGCTCGTATGCGTTCATTTACTGTCCGCTCTCTATTATCCAGGCCAATTCGGTGCGTCCGCGTCGACAACCCAGTTGCCTTTCTCTCACGCCAGACCGGATGGATTTCGCTGTGCCTCTCTGACGCGTAGGACTACGGTCACTTTGTCTAGGTGGTGTTTCACTGCCCCTGTCCGGTGGTTCCAAGTCGATTTCCTTCACCACAGCCAGCAGCTACCATGACTGTCTGTGGCTAATGACTCGATAAATACTTACTTTGAATAAACAGACCAAAAAGACATTACTGTTCCCTGGCGGCAGTATGTGGAAGCTCTTGATATTAGATTTCGCTCTGACAAACATAAGCTACCACTAGTATTTAGATAATTAGTTCTATACCTTTTTGAGGCTGTTAACCCGAAGGCGGGGTTCAGCATAAACAATAACCACCTCCATAGCTTAGTTTAAAAAACCAATTAAGTATTGGCCACTGCATTTTTGCCTTCAATTACGGAAAATAAATACCATTTGTAGTTAATTTTGATCATACAAGCAAAGAAAACACCTATTTTGAGAATTTGTTAAATAAGCGAGTGGTGCTGTACGTTAATGGGACGGTTGATGTTGCCTAGTTCTGACAATATCGCAGATAAATGGTGCAGCTTCGGCTGGTGCATATTTGTAAGCTGTGCACCAAGTTCATCCGGTTCCTTGCTTCTGTGTGTGATCCCTGATCAAATAAGCACGGATGTCCGTCGCTTCTCGTTTCTTTTACGGATCGCTTCTAATCTTTCCTTCGGTACATTCTGAACACCAATCGCCTGTTTTGTTACTTTCTACCTTTTAACCATTCGCTTTCTCCTTTACGTGGTCTGCTGACCAATGTTCCCACCTTAGTGTTCATTCAAATCTGTACTTCGACCCGGTGAACGACTGCCCGTCACAGAAGAACAACCAGCGAGCGGATAGAGATGCCATCTAGCTGCGTTGGTTTGCAAGCTTTTGTTCGCATTATAGGTTAAATACTTTATCATCAAATATTGTCTAATGCACTGATCCCCCATTAGTGCTTACTCACTGATGGTAAACAATAGTGATTAGATAGTTAACGTCATGATACCGATGCTTTTATTATTACATTCCTTTGGTGACAGCCTGATAACCCAATCTTCGTACTTATACTGATTCCCGTAAAATTCTATTATACTCCCTTAGGGTAATTACTCCCAGATTGAGAACCACTGATCTAGATGCTACGGCTGTGTTTGTAAAAGTGAACAAGCAATTTGTGGCGAAATGTAAAAAGTAGTTTTGAGTAGAATACAAAATTTGGTCGTTAGAGGGGGTTGAAAAAACTGAAAACACTAGCGTCATTGCACAAATCATGGTTTTGTGTACAAGGTGCGAAGTGTTTTCCACCTAATTTGAATACTCTTGTGTACCGAAGTATTGGTAATACACTAGCCTCCCACTATTTTACGAAAACAATTACTTGTGCGCATGCCAGCACACCGACTCCCACGACGTGCATTGTTTGCGCGTTGTGGGGGCGGTTGGAAGAGGAGGAGGGGAGGCCAAGTGATGACTTGGTCGCGAGAAATGAAAACCCTCACTTCGAAGTTGGCGTCGGTTGGTGCATCCCGACTGCCTGGCTGGGGTCCTAAGGACGGTGAACACGTTTGGCTGGACACACTTGCTGATATGGCTAGGAGCCGGCCCCAATGGCGTTTGTGTTGTGAGTTCCTTTGTCCATCCTCCTCCTGTTTAGCACCCCCCTCCAATCACGATCTCAATCGTTAGGCATAATATGACTTTCTTTTACGGCAGCCAGCTGTTAGCTCTCCGGAACGATGTCCATCCGTTACTGGGGACTCAGCGGGCGTGCCACTGTTTGTTTGTTTTTTCTTTTCTTGCCTTTTGTATTGCGGCACAATAGCTGAGGTGTTTTCCACCTCCAGCTAACGTGTAATGATGATGATGATGACTTGTGCGTTGGAGGGCAAGAGCCCAGTTACACATTCAAACGGACCTGTCTACCCTGAACCCATATCCTTGGATTAAATGAAACGTATCGGGCATATCACCTCCTTAAAATGGAGTACATTGAGCCGTACGATTATCTGAAGCCTGCGCCGCTGAGTCGGTAAGGTAAACACAGAATCATTTGTAAGACGCCTAACTTATACTCCAGCTAACTATAAATGGGCCATTAATTTCATTGATGGAGACGACCTCACTTGCTCAAGCCAAGCTAAATGTCCTTAAGGAGCCGCAAATGATAGCCCATGCTTTAAACAGTAGTGGGTACTGTTGGTCCCTCTCACCTCTTGGTCTGCAGTCCGCTCTCCTCGCCCCGGGCGCGACTTCACATGGCTGATGGTGGGTACCGTGTTTATGGCAATCATCTCTTATTCTATGTAATACCTTTGACGCTGAGTTATCCGTGTGATAAGGTCATTTAAAATGGTAGACGATGAAACCCAGGGCAAATCCATTTTGCTACTTCCGCCTTATCTTAGACGAGCACGTGCTTTGGTCCGCAGGGTCTGGTTAGGGCGAGTAGGCTTTACTCCGGGTTTCCCATCTTATTTTTCTTATAGTTCCTTATTATTAGGTTTATTATTAGGTCACAGCTATATTACATCAGTATTTGTGCTGGTTTTGATATTATTCCATCCTAAATATCTTTACCCTATACCGGTTAGGGTGTTGGTCTCAAACATTGTCTCCCCTCTCATTAAGGTACTTGGTCTGCTCCTAAACGGAACGATTGTGGCCCATACGGTGATTAACCTAGCGACGGCAGTCTGTCTAGTCTCCATCGGGCGAGTGGATCATCCACGGGAATGTGAGCTCCGAATTACGGTCTCTAGTTACGGTAAGCAATGGTTTTAACCGAGGCACAAGTTTCTAGAAATTTGCTGCACTCAAACGCCGGATATGAGCAAATAAAATACAAAGCCATGTACACTACTATCGTCTGTGGACGCCGTTTGCCGTGCGTCCGCACTTTAACTCGACTCCCGCTTTGCCCTCTGTGCCCACCCTACTGGTCCCCACACAATATTGCGTGTGTGCTTGTTCGAACCAGTTCTACGAGCTCCACTCAGTGCTTTCCAACCCTTGGATCTAATCTGTGTGGAACATACTCTTGCTCCAGTTCCCAGTTTTCGGCACATTCTATGCCGAATTCCACGTGTGTAATTACACCAAACCGGAGCTTTCCGGGAATGTTGGTCTCTTACGGAAGAAGAAGCTGAGGGCTCCCAAACTACGCAGTAACCATCTTTGCAAGTTGCAGCAAAACAAAGTTACAGTCATATTGCTCCGCTCAACAACTGAACAACTCTAGCGTGGCTTATCAACGCTCCACCTGCATCGTAACTTGAGGTAGGCCGATCAACACATGCTGCCGCTTTGTGTATGTGTGTGTGTTCAACTGCGAGTCGATTGATCGCCAAACCCGACAGTCTGCGCGGTACGACCTCCAACTGCCTTTACCGACTGACCCTGCTACGGTTGAACAACTCTCAACTCGTGTGGGCGTGCTGACGTGTTTGTGTGAAACGTCCGGCGCAAAGAACACTAATCAACGTGAGCGATCAGATATGCCTTGCTGCAGAAGATAAGTGGCCGACAAGCATTCCAACGGTTCAGGGCCGCCTATGTTGCGCAGACAATTGCAGTAAAGTCTTTACGATCGGTGTAAGCTGTCCTAGCTGCCTTAGGTCACACTGTCCGCAATGCGTATGGAAATCGGTCCAAAAACTGAGACAAACAAACAAACTCGCTGACACAATTTGGTTTTGCCCAACCTGTCAAGTCCTTCTAGTGGTCAACTGTTTATCTGCTCATGAAAAAGTGCGATAGAATGAATGAGATAATCGTGCATTTTATAAATACTAAGATCGATCCCAAGGAGGTAACTATGGCCACGATACTACCTCACATGGCAAAGTTAATCCCTGAATCTAAGCCGAGGAAGAGGGCTAGACGCTCCAAACGCACTGCAGCGTTTGTGACTCTAAATCCACTGGGACACCTCACTCCCATAAGTGGGCAAGCCTCAAAAATGCCTGCTTCCACTTCTCCAACCAAAGACGCTTCATCTGGGGATTCAGCCATGACACCAACAGCTCAGAGCCGAAGGCAAAAAGATGCAGGTAACAAGCAGGTAACATGGGCATGGATTGCCTCGACAAACACAACGGAGCGACACACATAGGTCAATCTTCGGTACCCAGAACGTGTGGCGCAACGCAGCATTCTAAACAACCCAAATGAAAGGCAAGAACAATAAACCCAACACTCGATAGACAAAACCATGCTGCGTTAACTCTCCTGCGCACCAATGTTCCCGTGTCCAATTCTGGAAAAATAAAAGGCAAGTTGCAAGACGATCGCAACCAGTGGAGTTCCATCTGCGAGGCGATTGGTATTCGGGTTGAGCCTGCAATGCTGCAACGCGTAGCGCGTCATTTGACTTCAGTGCACTCTGGGGAACCTCGAATTCTTCGAGTACCACTAGACTCAGCAGTTCGTCTTCACAACTCACCGAGCGGAGTGCGCATATTACCTGGTCTACCTTGGAAATATCGCCCGAAAGAAGCAGTTGACCAAGGCGGTATTCCTAATAGGGATAGCAAGAAAACAGTATTTGTTCACGGGGTTCCCGAGCTTCTGCTTACTTCTGCTCATTATGCACAAACACATGACCGAGAGCAGTGGTGCTACATCCGCGAAACCCTCTCCTTTGACATTATTGTTACCAAATCCCTAACAAGAGTTCCCCCGTCACCTAACTACAAGGGCTGCGGTCCAAGAATAATGAAAGTAATATTACACTCCCAGGGAATGACGCACGTTCTGTTGAATGGCTTGTTAAAGTTTCGAGCTAGGTTGTCAGCAGAGATCCGGCTAAAGGCAACATGCGAACGGTCAAAATTCGCAAGCAATTCGATGACATTTGCAAACGTTGCAAATTCTTTATCTGCACAGTCCTGTGGGGAGACCGACAAAATAGCACTTACGACACACAACAGGACAGAGCACGGCACGAGTGAAGCATCTGTTCAGGAACGTTCAATAATGGCATGCAATTTGACTGAAATTCATAAACCAACTAACGATTAATGGCCGGCCACCTCACGGCCGACTTAACTACTAACACAAAAATGACATCCATCAACGCACTCCTAACAACAAAAGCCCTATCTTGCATGTACACAAAGGCGAAAGGCCTTCTAAATACATTGGCCGAACTTAGAGAATTACGTGCCTCAGAACCGCGGGACCCCATCGTGATAATAGAGAGCTGGTTAAACCTAGAGATAACCGGTTCTGAGATCAATTTATCTATTATGTCACTGCTTCGAACCGATAGAACCGGAAGGCATGGCGGTGTGATTCTATATTATAATACAGACCTCAGATGTGAAGTTATCGATCATCCGGAAACCCGAGCTCCTGATTCGCTTTGGTACCGCCTATGGTTTCGAAACAAGGACACATGTCTACTGGCCGTGATTTACCGCCCACCAAACTGAACATCGGAAATGGACTGCAAACTGAACCACGTCTTTCAATTTGTTTTAAAAACTCCTGCACCCACCTTTTTATCAATGGAGACTAACATTCACGACAAAGAAAGATCAGCAATCGACGGTACGCAGTTTAAGGTCTGATTTCAAGAGCTAATTGCTAATCACCCTCTGTACAACCACGTAACCATTTCCACCAGATTTCGAACTGCTAACGAGCCGTCGATACTGAATCTTGTGCTCACTAACGAAGGACTCAAGGTTGAGGGGATAGTTACAAGCACACCACTGGGTCGTAGTGATCAAGTTACTCTACTCTTTGACTAAATATGCTATGCGGGGTTTCCTAGAAAGGAAGAGGATAAAGTGCATACTCTCAGGCACTACAATGTTTTATCTACGCTTGTTAAGGATACATTTTGGACTTTCTTGACCGAATACCCCTCAGATGTTGCCTTGGAAACATTTACATGAACGTTTAGCACACTAGTAGCGCACGCATCGGAAGAGAATTCCTTCCAACCCAAAAGCAAGCACATGTCATTTCTGAGGAGCAGAACACGTACATGTAGGTCCCGGAAGATTTCACATGGTGAGCTCACAAGGACTGCTCGAATGTCGAAACCTGAACTGCATATGTGACACACCGTAACTTCTGTGTGAAACTGATCTGCGAACACAAGATCACGCATCAGCAGGAGTTACTGAAGCGATTCTGCACGAACCGCAAACTTCTGTACAGGCACATTAATAACCTTCGAAACGTGAAGCGGGGGATTCCAGCACCACTCACGGCTGATGGATGCACACGTTCAGCAATGGAAGCAGCTGATCTGCTACCGCTTCTTTACTCCCAAACTTCCCAGCAGGTAACGAGTCTAAACATCTCCTTGTTTCTATTACTCCACCGCCGAGTTTAGCCATCATCTTCACTGTGGATGCTGTATTACAGAAGTTGTTATCCTTGCGTATCCACAGTTCTCCTGGAGTTGACAACATCTGACCAAAGGCTCTACTTGCGGTAACTAGTGATCTGGCAGAACCACTAACTGTTTTATATCAGCAATGTCTAGAGGAGAACCATATTCCCCCAGAATGGAAGCAAGGTGTCATCACTGCTATGCATAAAGGAGGTAGCCCCACTGACCCTACTAACTATCGTCCAATAACACTGCTTTCTGTACTATCCAAAGTGATGAAATCAAGCATCGCAGATGCGCTGATAAAGTAGATGGAAAGCCACAATTTAATAGCCCCAGAACAACATGGCTTTCGTCAAAAAACGTTCATGTAATATTAGCCTATTAATTGCACGTATTAGCTGGACTGAAGCTGTTAATGATGGAGCAGGAGTCGATGTCATCTACCTGGACTTTCCAAAAGCGTCTGATCGCTTGGACCATCGAATTCTCCTTCAGAAGCTTCGAAACTACGGCATTGACGATCCAATCCTGAGTTGGATTAGCAATTTTCTACAAGAACGACAGGTAGCGGTGAGAGTCCGAAAATCATTGTCCGATGCAAGCCACGTGGTGTGTGGCGTACCACAAGGCTCCGTGCTTGGACCTCGTCTATTCTTGGTGTTCATTAACGACTTGGCGAGATGAGTTGCTTCCGATTTCCTATTTTACGTCGATGGCATCAAGATATGGCGAAGGATCAGAGGACCGGACGACCACGAACGGCTCCAGTGCGATCTTAACACAGAGTCAAATTGATCAGTTCAAAACGCCTTACCATTCAACATCGACAAATGTCGCGTTGTACAATTATGCCATAGACCTAACTACACATGGTTATTTGGGACAACCAGATTTCGGACTAGTTCCCAGCAACATGACCTTGGTGGGCTCATACAGATCGACCACAACTGTTCAAAACAGGCTGAGGTATCTGCGAAAAGAGGCAACCAGCACGTTGGTATGATTCGAAGAGCATTCGGGAGATTTGACCCATCTATCTTCCCAATGCTGCACAATTCCTACGTGCGCCCGCATCTGGAATACGTTATCAAAGCTTGGCAACCTTGGTGGAACCGCAACCTGGAGGCGTTAGAGACACCACAACGAAGAACAACAACGAGTGAAAAAGGCCTGTGCTATCACTCTTTCCACCGAAGCCTGCAGTTGCTGGGCATTTTCAGCGGACGTTATCGAAGGTTGTGCGCCGATCTCATATTAGCGTATCAGATATTGAGTGACCCCAACCACGTATGCCGCCATTTGCTGTAACTTAGCCACAACACCCAGCTCAGGGGTAACTGCTTCAAATTGAACGAACAATATGGCCGTCGAGAGTGTCGACGTAATTACTTTTCATTTCGGGTTTGCCAACCCTG